TTTATTTATTTTTGGGTGTAGGTGCATGTCTTGGGGATTTAAAAATTTCAAGGCTCGTTTACTTATGCAAAGCATGCCTACCTCTGGAATACTTAGGGAAAGAAAGCAACTCCTTGTTGTCCAAATTCCTCAAGGGACAGAGAAAAAAAAAATTGGAGACTGTTGAAATGCAGATTTGAAGTCATTTTTTTAAACTCTTATTTCTGGGTCCTGCGACATTATTGTGAAAAAATTAAAGTTGTTGTGCAATGCTTAGTTCAGACATGCACCACAAGTAAATGGTAGCCTAACACTGTGGGGTGGGGTCTAGGCATCATGCTTTTGTCAGCATACTCTTGAGCTTTAAAGTCTACTATGTTTGAACTGTGCTTTCTTGTTTATCCTTTTTTCCTTAGTTGGACTGTAATGTATGGTCTGTCAACCTGTGAATCTTTATGATTCAGGTATTGTTGTATTCTCTACTGTGTAATAAAAAAAGTTAAAAAAACAAAACAAAACACAATCCAAGAACAAACCCATTGCTGAAGAGTTGGGGCTGCCTCATAAGCTCATCCTCCTGTGAGTTTCTGGAGCTGTAAGTCCCACCAAAGGAGATTGTCTATGCTTCTCCCATGGAGCTCCTGCTGGATTTGAACCACCAGAGAGGTGGGGCCTTTGAGTAAGAAGCACAGTTCCCTAGAAATGACTGCTGGGCTCCTTTCCCTAAAGATTGTTGCTGTGTACTATCAAGTTGGAACTGACTGGTAGCTGACCCCCTGGTGAGTTTTCAGGGTCTGAAAATTACATGGGAAGAGATTGCCCATTTTTCTTGCACGGAGCAGCTGGTGGATTTGAACTGCATGACTTTGGTTGGCAGGTCAGCTCCTTGCCAATCAGCCACTAGAGGACAGTTGTCTGCCTGACAGTTCACTATAAGCTGGTTCAATTCCACCACAATGGATTTTGCTTTGATTTCTATACCATGGATTCCTCATATATCATGGATTGACTCCATCACTGGGGTAATGGGGTAGGTGTGTCAGAGAACATAAGGTTGGCTCAAGATAGAGTAGGGCTCAGAGCTGTTGTACCTAAGGTTGCAAGTGACTGGACGGCAAATAACAACAGCATTCTTAATAATAATGAAGAAAGGGAGCTCTTGAGGCCTAGTGATAAGAAGCTGTGCTGCAATTCCAAAGGCACACAGTTCAAATGCACCAGTTGCTCTGCAGGAGAGAGAAGGGCGGTCTCCTCCCATGTGGTTTAACTGCCTCTGAAAACTCACCTATGGGTCAGTTTCAACCCAACAGTACACAACAACAACAACAACAACAATGTAGAAAAGCATGTATCAGTTGTAAAATTATGTTAAGAGTGTTAATTGTGGAACAGTACGTAGATGAACAGGTATTTATTGCTAGAACTTGACTCCTATTATGCAAAGGACTTTTTATCAACTGGACACAAAGTTCTTAATATATTTAAAATTAATAATAGAGGGGGGAACCCACTTTGTCATGAGATGTTGTTAGGTACCATCGAGTCGAGTACGTACGTACGACTCACAGTGGCCCTGCGAGCAACAATTCTGAGCCCTGTCCTATTTTGTGCCATCCTCACAATCTCTGATACACTCTGCCAGCCCATTGCTATAGTAACTGTGTCAGTCCTTTGATAGAGGGTCTTCCTCTCTTTTTCCCCATTTCCAAGCATGGTGTACTCTTCCAAGACTAGCCTCTAATGCCCAAAGCGTGTAAGACAAAACTTCATCATCTTGGCCTCCAAGGAGCACTCAGGCTGCACCTTCTCCATGACATAGCTGTCTATTCCTCTGGCAGTCCATGAGATATACTCTCCTCCAACCCCACAGCTCAGAGGCATCAATTCTTCAGTTGCTCATAGTCTTTGTCTAACTTTCAGCAGGATAGTAAGTGATTGAAGAGATCATAGCCTGAATCAGGTGCACCTTGTTGTTGTTATGGGCTGTCGAGTAGCTACTCATAACAACCCATTGAACAAAAGCTCTGAAGCCTGCCCTGTCCTGAGCCAGTCTCACTGACTCCAGCACACCTATCCCAGTTGCACCAGTTACAGTATCAATCCGTCTCATCTGAGGACTTCCTTTCCTGCGCTGTCACTCCACCCTTATGAGTATGATGTCCTCCAAGGATGGGTCTTTCCTGGCCACATGCCCCAAAGTATGTGAGACGGAGCTTCGAAATCCTATCCTCCAAGGAGAAACATGGTTTAACCATCTCCAAAACAGAACTATTTGTTTTCTTGGCTGTCCACGGTATGTTCAAGACTCTTCTCCAGCACCACAGCTCGAAGGCATTGATTCTTCTTCTGTCACCCTTAGTCATTGTCCAGCTCTCTGATGCATAGCAAGTAATTGCAAAGACCATCATGGCCTGGATGTGAATCTTAGTCCTGTGATAGATAAGATGGAGCAAATTTCCTAAGTATTTATGCTTTTGTTGTTGTTAAGTGCCATCAA